AATTATGTTTTGATAAAAAGCGCTTAAATGGGTTGTCATTAAAAAGTACGGAAGGTCACGTGGCTTTGAGTGTAAGCGTAGATTTCATTATTTATAGTATTTATTATCTCTAGTATTACGTGTTGATAATTGTAACAAAGGAAAAAAAATGATTTACCACAACACAGAGCTAAATCACAAACAAATATTTAATTTACTAAAACAGAACAAAACATATACAGGATAAACAATTGTAGCCTACAAAACAGAAAACACAGAGTTACTGGCGAAGTGTTACGAGGGAGAAGGAAAGGAGTCAAATCACTTTTAGGGCGAGTGAAGTAATCTAAGTGCTATATTTGGAAATCCACAAAAGGTGTGTAAATAAATATTAATTTTTAGTTTGGTCAATGAAAATTAGTCAAAATTCTATTTACCAACTTTGTTCCATGAAATTCTCTTTTGGGTTTTGGTTGGTCGGCAACTTTTTATAGAGATTCTTTCGGCTGGATATAATAGTCCTTGAATCAAAAGCCGGAGTTGATACTGACAGCATTGACAACCCTTTTCCAAAATCCCATTTTTATAAGGGCTAACACCTAATTTGCATATTTCTAGATTTTTCTCGAATATACTAGAATGATCTAGAATCTTCCAAACATTCTATTTCTAATTTCTATTTTACAACTACTTCATGAAATCTTTTGAAAACAAGTAGAACTCAAAGGAATCCCTTATTATAGAAATGCATCCTCGTAACAATAGATAGTATCAACAAAGTTATGTTTTAAGTTCCAGTAATAATAAAATAACAAAATTAAGGAAATTGGAATGCTAATTTTTTTGTTTTTTATTATCTACTAATTACGGGGTAGTACATAAGCTGATTCACACAAAAAACAAAAAAACGTTACGTCACGTATGACCATCTGTATGATAACGCGAATCTCACGTGAGCTGTCGATATGTGATGACAGGTATCACTTGTCACTCGAGAAATGACAACACAGTTCAGATCGCTTACTTTTTATTTCGAACAATTTTTTTATTCGAAAAAAGTAAGTAAAAGCTTCTTTCAAAATATTTTAACTAATCTTTAAATTTGCTAATTTTAGTCAAATAAATTTTGAAAAACGTAGAATTGATTTTTGGTATAATTATACCAAAAATAAACGAGGATTTTTAACTTGTTTACAAAATTAGAAAAAAATGGCTGATAGCTACTTTTTTTAAGTAATTTTGATGACAGAAATAAACAACATTTTTAAATAAAATTTCGGACCTGATAAGAATGAGTAAAAAATTTTTAAAAATAATCAAAAAATACTTTGGTGTTTCTTCTTAAGAATGATATATATATTTAAGCCGATAAAAATTTATTACATCGTTTTTTTTTCATGCTATATGTTTTTTGTAGCAATTTCGTGGAGGTACCTAAGCCAAATCAGTTCAAAATTTCCCCCAGAAAAAAATAAAATAACATTTCAATGCCAGATATGAAGATATACAGTTGCACAGTTCTTTGCTTTGAATGGAAATTTCCTGTTTTTAGTAATTGGTTTTGTTTCTGAAATGCATGTTTCGCGATGGCGGATTTCTCCTTCGGATTTCTCCTTCGGATATCTGTACCCCAGTTTCCTTAAAACATATTCTTTTCCCAAATGCGCACCCGATTCTCCCCGCCTTTTGGAAGAACTAGAGAATTGTCGTCATATCTAGGCCGGAAATTTCTGAATCCCCGCTTTACAATGAGAACATTAAAAAGTGTTTATGCGGCCTTGAGTGTGATTATTCTAGTCCTTTTTCTGCGTCGGCGAAACTACGCTAACCTATTGCTATTTTCAAAGCAAATGATAAGACGAGCTACGACTTTATTCTACCTGTTCAGACCTTTACAACTAGAATGCGCCATACAACGGATACAGTGTCGAATTATCCCCATTCTCTTCGTATTCTATAAGTAAGAAGGAAATTTCACTCATGAGAGATTCTCAAGAAAATAATTCGCTTTACAATCTTAATCCTTTCAAATTTAGGGCCAGCAGTTATCTATAATATCTATCCGCATAATATGCACTTCCTTCCTCATCTTATTGTCAATTAACTCATTCAGTAACACTATCTTGAGTTGTTATTGAGTCTTATATTGGGTGAATGTTAGAAAATGATTACACGGGGAGTTAAATATAGTAATAAAGATTAAGACTGATAAAATCATGCGCAGCAGAGAATGATAAAATATGAAAGATGCAAACAATCGGGAAAGATACGAAGAGAAAAATGCAAACAGTCGGGAAAGATACGAAGAGAAAGATACGAACAGTCGCGAAAGATACAAAGAGTCGGAAAAGGTACAAAGAGAAAGGTACAAAATATCGGGAAAGATATAAAGAGAAAGATACAAACAATCGGGAAATATAAAAACAGAAAGATACAAAGAGTCGGGAAAGATATAAAGTGGAAAGATACAGACAGACGAGAAAAATACAAATAGAAAGATACAAGCAGACGGGAAAGATACGTTGAGAAGATACAAACACTCAGGAAAGAAACAAAGTAAAAGATACAAACAGCCGGGAAAGACACAATGTGAAAGTTACAAACAGTCGGGAAAGGTACAAAGCGGGATATACAAACTGGCGGAAAAGATACAAAGAGAAAGATACAAACATTCGGAAAATATACAAAAGAGAGATACAAAGAGTCGAGAAAGATACGAAGAGAATTATACAAGCACTCGAGAAAATACGAAGTGAAAGCTGCAAAGAAACGGAAAAGATACAAAGAGAAAGGTACAAACACTATGGAAAAATACAACGTGCAAGATACAAACAGTTGAGAAAGACACAACACTCGGGAAAGATACGAAGAGAAAGATACAAACAGTTGGGAGAGATACTATCAGTTAGGAAGACACGAAATAAACTAGTTTAATACATACATACATATATATATATATATATATATATATATATATATATATATATATATATATATATATATATATATTAATTGAACTTGAATCTAAACACTGAAAATTCTGGTCTTTGATCATGTTTTTTCTAATATAATAATTTACTTTCACTTTATGATGTTCTTGTAAAGACTAATATTTAAAAGCACAGACACCTGAAAACCTTTCTATATTTATATTTCACGAGAGTAAAACCTAAAAAAAAAAATAAACATTGGTTGGCGTCTCTTAACAGTTGTAAATAATTATACGTAGATAAAAGAAATTTTGAAAATATGGATATGTAGAATAAAGAACACCAGTTTAGAATATTTGCCAAACCATACCTCTGCGATTTTAAGATAAGAGGTGCTTCTGGATGAGATGCCATTCATTGTACTTTATAAATAATACCAATGCATCTAGTTGTCAAAGGTCCGTTGTCTTTTTTATCTCATTTTGTTTATTTACACTATTTATATTATACATTCACGACGTTTCCGGCATTGTACGCTCCGACCTTCTTCAGCTGATTGGAATTTCGAACCCAACCCCCTGTTTTCGTCCATTCGTGTTAAATATCTGGAATATGGTACGTGGAACTAGAACGTTCCACGTACCATATTCCAGATATTTAAATTTCAGTTTCACTAATGTCTCTTTAGTAACTCAACTCTCCAAGTATTTCTTCACCCTGTTTACCCAGCCGTGGCCAGATATTGAACTCAGCTATTTGGGTCAATTCCCTAGATTACTTCAACCAACGCTTTTATCTACTTGGCCATGTGTCCTTGGGAGAACATCATGACAACAAAGATGAAGACAACAGTCCGAACAATGTATATTAGTGTAAATAGTTACAATACCTCATGTCAAAAATATAGACAGTCATTTTATTTATTTTAAAGTCTAGGCAGTTCTTTGAATTGACAATTTCGCTATAATTAAAAATAAATATTACTTTCATTCAAATTTGCTTTGGGACACAAACATATTTGTTCCATAATTTATTCGGCAAATACTTAATAATAGTGAATTATTAATGCATCTCTGAGTAAATTGGTTATATATTTGCAATCAAGGATCCTCTATTATTCGCAAGTGCGTTCATTAAAAATAGTGCTTGCGTTGCGTCTCTGTAATTGATGTATTTATTTGTTTTGGGTGTTTAAGTCTTTTATTGTATATTCATTACTTTCCATTTTTATCCACAGATAAAGAATATTACGAAATATCCAGATGTGAAACAGCATTGGTCATTGGCATTGATTCTTGATTGCAGAACACGAGTCGCCCACTCCACTAAACAAGTTGGCTGTTTGCCTAAAGTACTTGGCGGATGTTGCTTCATCAACGAAAACCTGATAACCTTCGCCCCTTCTGCATTTTCCTCGCTTTCGACTCTGTCCAAACCTATAGCTTTCCTCGTTTCTCCTCATCTACATCGCTTTTACCTGTCCAGTTTCTTCTAGTCATGTCCTCACGTCTGATCAGGGAAATTTCCGTCGACATAAGGGCCGCAGTCAATAACTGCAGAGTTTAGCAAGGTTGACCAGCAATTTGATTTGAATTTTGATGAACAGGTCTTAGTTGATAAGGGTTCGAATTGAGGATATGATGTGTCGCAATAATCTCTAAATTAATCAGAATCAAGTGCGGACATATTGAGTCGTTTTCAGTAATGCTGTATGACCAGCGTGAACCTGCAATCAGGAAGTTCGTGATTTTTTCGATCATTGCCACAATTAATGAGATATAAGAACACGAAATATAGCATATATCTTTTCTTTCTCTCTTATATATATATATATATATATATATATATATATATATATATATATATATATATATATATATATGTGTGTGTGTGTGTGTGTGTGTGTGTGTGTGTGTGTGTGTGTGTGTGTAAGGACTATTAAATAAAACGACCTGGAATTGTCTATATATATATATATATATATATATAGTCGACTCTGCCGTCGAATTCAACGTATGGGGGTCAAGCAGATCAGTTCCCAGGAATCCGACAGCCCGGCAACAGCACATGAGATTTTATTATAGTGGAGAAGTTTTTGTGCAAGACCAGCCACACTTTTTGAAGGGTCGAATTCAGAGACCTGGTGCACTAATGCCACAAGGTCCCCAAACGACCCTCCGCAGGTTTTAATTCAGAGTTGTCCTTGGTTTAGACCAGTTACCATCAAAGGCTATATATATATATATATATATATATATATATATATATATATATATATATGTGTGTGTGTGTGTGTGTGTGTGTTTGTGTGTGTGTGTGTGTGTGTGTTGTGTGTGTGTGTGTGTGTTTTATATATCAAAAACAATATTGGGGATAATGCATTACAAATTGGAAAAAGTTTTCGTGTGATATTGTTTTGGATATATAAAACACACACACACACACACACACACGCACGCACACACATACATACACATACACACACATACGCACACACAGACACACACACACACATATATATATATATATATATACATATATATCGTTATCTCATGTGTTTGTGAATAGATAAATATAGAGACATACGTTAATTTATGTACACACACACACACACACACACACATATATATATATATATATATATATATATATATATATATATATATATATATATATATATATATATATACACTGAAACGTCAATATATCCAAACCAAATGATAGGATTTTCATTTAAACAAATATATTAATTCATCAAGTTATATTTTAATTAAATCGATTGACTATATAGCTGAAAATCCCAGACCAAAGCCAACTATCGAGTGAATCTAGCCTCATATCGAGATCAAAATTAAATATTTCTGTGCAAAACAAAAAATTCAATATAAATTTTAGCCTTTTCCAGTTATTTAATGGTACATATCAGTTATATTCTTAATCGTTATAAGAAATCAGGCGTTTGCTATTTCCTAGGATAACACAGACACATTATGTAATTTGCGGGCCTGTAACCAACCGAAAAGTGTCGTTACACGACTATTCTCAGTATAAGTAAGCATTCGTCACATGTATATTTCCTGTAAATTTTCATGTAATAGAATATATGTATTAATACATTGAAATTCCAATAAAAATATTATTTTCTTTAGGAAGGAATTTTTTAAAGAATATTTTCAGTTAAATCCATTTTCTTTAAACCTGCAATTATGATTTGGCCTGGATTTTCTTTCTCTGTTGAGCTTTTACTTTCTCCATTAACATTTTTAAGATAAATTTTTACAGGAATAATGCAAATCGTAAAATTCGAGGAGACTATGTTTAAAAACAGAAACAAACAGCAGAAAATGGATAATCTTTTCTGAGAATATATTAGTGTTTTCTCAAATTATTCATTAATTGTTGACATAAAGATATCCATTAATTCCTTAGGGCATTCAATTTTATTATATACTAGCAGTATAACCATCCTTCGATGGATGCTTCATTACTGGGAATTTTTGCCGTTCAGTTGCAGCCGTTTAAAAATCAATATTAGTAACAACAATTGAGTGCAACTGAAGCACATTCCCAAATGGGGGTTAAAGAATTTGAATAGACGGTGGCCCTGAAAAGGATCGTTTTTTCGTTCGCAGTCTTGTTTCAGCCTCACGTGCAGAAGCAGTTGAAAAAGTGTTTCTCTTCATCTGTTGAGTTGATTGATCAGCAGTTTCAGCCTCACGCGCAGCAGCAGTTGGATTGGCGTTTCTCCTCAGCCGTTGAGTCTTCTGATCAGCAGTTTCAGCCTCACGCGCAACAGCAGTTGAAGAGGCGTTTCTCCTCAGCCGTTGTGTCTTCTGATCAGCAGTTTCAGCCTCACGCGCAACAGCAGTTGAAGAGGCGTTTCTCCTCAGCCGTTGAGTCTTCTGATCAGCAGTTTCAGCCTCACGCGCAGCAGCAGCTGGAGAGGCGTTTCTCTTCAGCCGTTGAGTCCTTTGATCATCATGTGCAGACCTCGCGCACAGAAGCGTTCAGGTATGCGCTTTTGGAAAGCCGATGTCTAAGTTGCTGATTGAAGCATTCCGTGAGGCATTTTGAGAGAGGCGAACTGAACGTTCTAAAGAGGATTCGTTATCTCTGATGCGCATGAACAGATTTTGAGAATTATATAGATATATATTATGGCGTGTACTTATATTTTCTGAACATAGTCTTTCAAAAAATTACTATGAGCAAGATATGGTTTAATCATTTCCTTCTGTGTTTACATCAGGTTTTTACAAGTGAAAGCAATGTCGTAAAAGTTTCAAGATCTTGCCTATCGCAATACAATGGAATGCATTTCTTTTTAATAAGATTAGATAAAAGTAAACATAGTGATATAAAAGGAGAAAAACTGAACGAATCTTCTGGTCAATTAAACATACTCATAAAGGCCTTTTTTTCTTTTTAATTATTCGCATATGTCCGAGAAAGCAATAACTATTGAAGTTCTTCATATAAATATGTTTTATTCGTGTACGCAGAAGGTAAAGAAATTATCTGAAGAGCACTTATCGCAGAAGTTAATAAATCCATCCTGTAATCAGATCGGCTGTACGTGTCTGCACGTGCGTGGGCAATTATATATATATATATATATATATATATATATATATATATATATATATATATATATATGTGTGTGTGTGTGTGTGTGTGTGTGTGTGTGTGTGTGTGTGTGTGTGTGTGTATATATATATATATATATATATTTAGCACTTCTCACTAGAGGTACTCATTACTTTCGTTTATTTTTTCTTCCTCAGTTTTTTAAAGCCTCGTTCTTCCGTTTGTTTTTTTGTGTTTTTTTTCATTTTTTTCCCTTTTCATTTGTGTTTAATTATGTATATTAATATTCCGACTGGCATGAAAGGAAGATTAATAAAAAAAAAAAAAGGTAGTAATGAATGTTTCTATAAATAACTAGTCAGCTGCATTTTTAGCTCTGCAAGAACGGTTACTCTTATTTCAGATTCTATCGTATAAAACACAAGGTGATTAAGTCCGCCGGACAAGCAAACGTATGGAGATGATAAGAAACACTTACAATAAGGAGACGTGTGCAAAACGTATCGATACCGCTTTAAAAATTACCAGGAAACCAAAGCGCATCCATCCTAACACGCATATGTACATATCATCGAGCGATATTTACATACCTTGTTTTGTAATCTCACTACATGTACCATGTGACTAAGAAGTACTTCCAATATTTGCTATATCATACAAAATCACATCACATACATACATGTGTATACATACGCTTATATATATATATATATATATATATATATATATATAAATGCTTAGACACTAATATTCCATGGTCATAATTTGTTCCATTGGAATCGTAAATACGATCCAATCCATCAGACCTACAAATTCAAAAAGAAAACAGAAAAAACAACTCCGGAATTAAAAAAATAAAACTTAGAGAGAGTGTAAGTATGAGCGTGTGGGACGAATGTTAGAGCTATTGAGAGGGGTAACAGAAGAGAGAAGGTGGGGGATTCAAATTTAACAGAGGGAAGTTTTAGAGAGGTGAGTTGAAGACGGTTTAAGTGAGAGAAATATGAATGTTGTCGGATGTCTAATACATTAAAGATGTCACCGGAAAGGATACTTTTGTGGTGACATACACACACAATAGACTATCTAATCTTAAAGATCAGAAGAAGAGGGAGGGAGAGGAAAAGAAAAGGAAAGGGGTGGGGGAGAGAGATGGGGCGGGGGAAACGAAAACTGAATATATATATATATATATATATATATATATATATATATTCATAAACATATACACATATATAAATGCCCTTCAGTTTTAGTTTCTTGTCTTTTATTATGACTAGGCCAGAATGATTATGCTTAAACTCGTTTTAAGAGTTAAGCATAATCATTCTGGCCTAGTCCAAAATTGGTCTGAAACTAAGGATGACCTTTAAGGATGTTGGGATCGGAGGAAATCCGAGTGGTTTTACCATAATTTTAAATGAATTTAAGTCAGAATATATATATATATATATATATATATATATATATATGTGTGTGTGTGTGTGTGTGTGTGTGTGTGTGTGTGTGTGTGTGTGCGCGCGCGTGTGTGTGTGTGTATTTAGCCAGTATATTTTCATTCAAAAGTGTTTGGTTAAATAATTTAGACGTATTATGTCTATTTATTTTAGTTTAATCCTTTCAACTCCAAGAATTTATTTCTTGTTGTCTGTAGAAAATTGATGAAGAAAAATTTCAATTTTTTTTTTCAGATAATTTTTATTTACCGAAGTACTTTACATATCATCTAAGACCATCTTCAACGTAAATATAAGGGAGGTAATTTATAGGATTTTTTAAAAGGATTTTTAATTTTAGTGCTTTAATTTAGTATATATTATAACACTTTGCTGCTACATGTATTTGTTGCTATACTCGTATTTAACTTTATTTATTTTGGCCGCCATTCTCTAGATTTCTTTTAGATTTTTCTTATTTATATCTTGGTGAAGCAATGATATATTTTCTA